TCAAACCACACGGAAAAGGAGAATTGGAATCCTAACCAAATATGGCAAGGACTGAAAAAAAAAAAAGAGGACTTGGGTTTTTTTCTTGCATCTTGATCGAGATTGGGTGGGGTTACTAGTTGCGTAAATAGCGTGTCGAGCAAGGTCATAGAGCTGGGACTCCTGCATCCTATTTGCCTACGGTTAGAGCGAGCAGGGAGTAGAAGCCGGGGTATTGAAAAGCTGAATGATGGCAGGATTAATTATTGTCGTGGCTTTGGGAAAAGGCCGAGGTCTGTGCTAAGGAGTAGGTTGCAATTGGCGACACGGGCAAAGGTGGGGAGAATAAAAACTTGATTTTGCTTCCCCACCACAATGTCGCACATGATCATGCAATTGGTGGTAAATTAAGAAGGGAATTAATTAAGCCACTCGTTAGTTTGGTTTGGCAGGGAGGGATGGTACTTTTGTTTTCATGATTTGGATTTTGTGAAGTCAAAATTGGCTAAGGAAACAATAAACAAGGCAACGAGGTGGCCAGTAAGGTGGTGTGGGAGAAGTGTTGTCTCTCGTTGCTAGAAACGATGTAGCATGAAGGAAGGAAGTTTTGGCTGCGGATAATTGCAATACGAGATGGTGAAAGGGTTGTGTGATGTTTGCTCTTTATTAATGAAGCCAACGAGGTGTGTGGCTAAGTGGTTTGGTTGATTTTAAAACTACTTAGTGTATAATTCTTATGCACTAAGTAGTTGGGGGCATTTGTTTACCACTAAAAAAATCACTCAATACCACATTGATTATTTTCAAGGAGTGGTAGTGATTTAAAAGGTCAACTCAACATTAATGATTAAAAGAGATAGATGGGCCATGTTGCGTTGGGTTTTTGGGCCCAAGTGACCAACCCGTCTCCGTGGCCCCCATAGTCGGACGATGCCTCCACCCCTTGGTATGAAATTTGACTAAGTATGGAGACCCAACCACAAGAGGGGTCATGCATGGTCTCGTCCAAGGGGGTCATGCATGACACCACCAGGGGATTCAAGCATGACACGCCATAGCAAGAGGGTACCTAGCCGGCAAGGCAGGGCTTGGTACCAAGACATGAAAAGCATGAATTTGGCTAAGTATGAAGCCATCATGACACTACCAGGGGAGTCAAGCATGACACCGTGCAAGGGGGGTCAAGCATGATTAGGGATGGCAGTTCAACCCGGACCCGCGGGTACCCGACCCGACCCAACCCGGTCAAAGCGGGTAAAACCCGTGTTGACCGGGTTCGGACCGGGTTCGGGTTTAAACCCGGTGGCTGGTTGGGCGGGTTGGGGCGGGTTCGGGTTTGGAGGAACCCGACCCGTGGATGCCCGGACACACATCCTAACCCTAATTTCCCAAAACATTTTCACTCCCCCACCCAAGTCCCCACTCTCCCCAGAGACACAAACCCCCACCGCATTCATCCTCTCCCTCTCTGTCTCTGACTCGCGAAGCCATCCCTATTCTCTAGTCTCCACCTCCCGTCCCGACTCCAAATTCCGATCCGACGGCCGCCCGGCCACCACCAAAACCCTTCTCCCGATTTCCATCCTCTACTCGGCGCGCCTCCATTCCCGACAACCACCGCCCGTCACCCGATTTCCATCCCGCGCCCTCCCCCTGCTCTTCCTCTGCTCCGGCTCCGCCTCTCCGACTTCATTGCGCGCCCTCTCCCTGCTCCTCTGCTCCGCCACCGTTCGACGCCCGACGGCCGACATTCCCGCACTCCCTCTGCTCCTTCGCGGCTCCGCCTCCCGTCGACGGTTTGAAGACTTGAACGAGCTGTCACAGCTCAAGTCGGGGAAAGGAGTCACCCACTTCTGCTCGTTGGGTGGTAAGGTAAGAGATTTGGGATTTTGTTTGATGTATGAATATATGGCTGCAATCTGCAAGTCTGGAATTGTTGTTGTGTATATTAACTATTAAGTAGTCTGGGTTTTCGTATGATTTATGAATATATGGCTTCAATCTTCGTTTAATAATCAAAGGAGAGAATCTAACAAGAATAGAAAAAGTGAAACAGAAAGAGATGAGAAGGAGTTGTTGTTGTGTATTGGTTTTAGTTGGTTATTGTTAATTATTATTTTATAAATATTTTACCAAAAAAACCCGTGGGTAACCCATCAACCCGCGGATACCCAACGGGTTGGGTTGGGTTTGAGTTTTTCAAACCCAGCGGGTTTTACCCCGGGTTTTTTTGACGGACATCTACCAGGTGTCAAAGCGTGTGGCAAGGGGAGAAGGGCAACAACGCAAGTCACTAGACCGTGATGGGAAAGAAGGCGAAAATTGGCTAAGTGTTGAGACCCATAACGCAAGGGGGGTCAAGCATGACATCATCCCGGGGGGTCCTTGCACTAGGGTGTTAAGCATGATGCCGAGGTGAAAATTCGACTAAGGCGTGGTGGCTAGCTGAGATGGCCACCCGACTATGTACCAAACAACCATGTATGGCCCTTATGGGGCCATATGGAGACAAAGTCCCAAGGTGGGCTTGGTAGCACCCTAACGGGGTACCAAGACGGCAGGGTGTAATTTACCAACTTGATGAGGCTACAAAAACTAAGTATGGATACCAAGCCACCAGGGCTAGCTTGGTAGCAAGGGGTGTCAAGTTGATTACATAGGCTTGGTGGCATGCTAGAAGGTATCAAGCCGATGAGACGGCTTGGTAACAACCAACAAGTTAATGAGAAGGACTTGGTGTCATGAGGTGGTAGCGGACTCACGAGCGGGGAGTCATCAAGCAGTCGAGGGTGAGATCAAGACTTCATCATGGTTCATGGAGGCTAAGGCAAGAGCCTCAACCCCAACTAGTCATGACAAGGCGACAAGGATCAACCACAACCCGACCCGGCATCGAGGCCATCAAGTACCCACCAGCCCAAGACGGGACAAGAGCCCCCAAGGTGACGATTACCAACTAGTCACCAAGGCAGCGACAAGGACCCCGAGGCGGTTTGGAGCAGCAAGCCAGCTAGCGGTTACAAAGTCAGTTACCAAGGCAGTTACACTCGATGTCTATAAATAGGAGAAACTAAAATTGTAAAAGGGTTCCACAACCAAACATTTGACACACTATGTCAAACTTTATCTTTTCTCTGCAAATTAGCCATAGCCTTAGTTTTCGAATCTCTCACTGAACCTCCATAGGAGTAGCTGTAATTAACTTAGTTTGTTCCCAAAAAACCATAAAAAACATCAAACACCCTCGTTCGAACATTGTTTGGAGAGGAGTGAACCGTGTTATTAATAGTTGTTCAAGAAGTCAAGGTGAAAATCATTTAATTCAAACACCAGTTTTTCCTCGCCGAAAAACATATTGGTACCAAGTCACAATTCACAATAAAAATATCATTTGATAGAATTTATAAAAAAATTAAATATTCCTAGGCGAGTCTAAACTAATTTAAAGAAAATATGAAATCGGGTAGTTATAGAGACCCATCATCATCGATATGCATAATTATGGGGACTTCATATTAGTAGGATTTAATTACTTGTTTATAAAGCTATTCGCTAGGTTTAGCTTTAGTATTATGATTTTGGTTATATATTTCCGTCAGAGGAATATAACCGAAGTAGATAACCGACCACAATATTGATCAGAGGAATGGGTGGACCTTTTCGGTCAGACGTACGCTATACACCTGAGTTCACACTTGATTTTTGAACTTTAATATATTTTGCTGAATTAGGACCATCGGTTATTATTTTTTTAGAATAACTGAATCTTGTGACTTGGGTTAGAGAATTGGGGACCGGGGTTCACCGATTAAAGGTTAGGGTATAGTATCATGCCCCAAAATCCGGTTAATTCGTGCTTTAAATAGTAAAAATGACCTACGTACAATGTACGACTGACGTACGCTAGTCCATATATACTTTGGCATTCTTTTAATATTATGAAGACGATTAATAATAGAAAAGAATCTTTCAATATAATCCTAATCTCTCAATTTCGTCTCTCCTCTTTTCTAAAGGTCGTCAACCATTCCTCTATTCGTGATCCCCAATTTCCTCTTTCAATCCCTAATTTCAATTTTGTTCTTCCTATGAAAATCTTTGATTCTATCTCTCAAGGCAAAAGAAAGAAGAAGAGGATGGAAGGTTTTCAGGATCGACACACGAAATTCAATAAGAGAAGAAAGACAAAGAGGACGAATCCAAACCAAGGCAAGTTGTACTTGCGAAGACTTTTCTAGATTCTCGAAAAGATAAAATGAAAATAGTGCTTCTCCTTTTTTTCGTGGTAGTTCTGTTTATTTGAAGTCTCCAACCACAACTTACTGTGACAACATTGGGGTATTGTACTTAGCTGATAGCTCACAACCCTCTCGTGCACTCCAAAACGAAGCATATATCCATTGATCACCATTTCGTGCGAGAGAATGTCATGTTTGGTGATCCAAAACCTCTTTTCTTCTTATAACACTTCTCCTTCCGACCTTCCAGCATCAGGCAGGTGTCAGACTCTATACATCGTGTTACCACTTAGCAGATTCTTGTGTTTTTAATAAAATTCGCTACCCGTGGAATGTGCAGCTTTCCTAATCAAAAGATAGGAGGGCACCTCTTCTCCCGAAGTTACGGGGTCATTTTGTTGAGTTCCTTCGACATGGTTCTCTCAAGCGCCCTAGTACACTCTACTTGTTCACCTGTGTTCGGTTTGGGGTATGGTCAATTCATTGCTACAAATCTCTCAGATCCTCTAATTCCTATCTCTTAGCATTGAAAACTCATGTTTCTATTAGGTATGGAAAGAGAGGCGGTGGATGATGAAATCCCTACTAAAGAGTGAGTTTTTCAGCGGTTGTGTTAATCATAGAGAGTATGTTACGATGATGTGACGTGGGGGATGACATTTTTAGAATTTTTCGTAAAAAGGATAAAGCACAAAGAACTCTCAAAGGAAATAACAAAGAAAATAGCGATTGAAAGAAAGAAAGCTAAATATTTGTGTTCCAATTTTCTTAACATTAAACAAAAGAACACGTACGTATTTATAGGTTAGGAAATCCTGACAATCCCCTCTGCTTTCCTACTAGGTCGCCGGCCCTCTCTTCCCCTTCCTAATGAAAATATGAAACCTATCTGCAAGGAAACAAATACTAATTCCTAAACAAATACATACTACAAAATCCAAATCCAACGTAAACAAGTAAACATAAATAATTAATACAAAAATTTCCAAAATAATATCCAAATATGAACTAATTAATAAAAATACTAAAGATACGCAAGCCCAATCTTCTACGAATACGATGGCCCGACCTTGTAACATTACTCCATCCTTGAGCACAACCTTGTCCTCAAGGTTGGCCTTCCCCCTCGATGAACTGGCCCTCCTCCTCTTCATCGCACGCGCCAATCATGAGAAACACATTGTTGTTGGCGCAACGATGACCAATGGTGTAGCGCTCATCATAATAGAAGCACAATCCATGCGTTTGGGGTCGAGCTACCTCTTTTGGCGACATTTGGCGTGATGCGGGTTGGAGGTGGAGCAGGCGATGATGATGACACCGCCGATTATGGACCGGCCTCTATAATTTCCCGAAGTAATCCGAGCCGTCAGATGATGCTTGGCGAGCTCCTCGTTTCTCACCTTGGTGAAGCGGATGGCTTCTCACATAGTTTCAGGTTGAAACATTTGAATAGCATCTGATATCTCTGATTTTAGCCCACCAATAAATGATCCTACAAGAGCTTCTTCAGTCCACCCAAAACATCGATTGCAATAAATAATCACCTAGTGATCCGATTTTCTTAATTTTGGCGAGAGCCTCATGGCTAGATACGCCCTCCGCCGGCCCAAAATGGGCCCATAGCTCCTCCCTAAATCGTGCCCAGGTGATCGGCAATCCCAATGCGGTGTAAGTGCGGTCCATCCATTGCCACCATTGATTTGCATCTCCCTCCAAATGATAGGATTCAAGGGGTACCTTGTGTTCTTATGGTGTTTCCTAGAATCGAAAAATTGTTCCACTCTTTCGAACCACCCGGATGGATCGTCGTTTCCATTATACTTCAGGAAATCCAGTTGAGCTAGTTTAGACTTGAACCACCCAGTTTTCTCCTCCAATCCATAGCTCGACCCACGACCTCCTTTGTCAAATTGTAATTCGTCGGTCGGTTCGATCCCAAACCCGACCCAACTTTGTCCACCCCCAGGCCCACTGCTACTCCCCATGGCCCATTCGGTCAGCATGAGCCGGTTGCAGAACCCTGCTCCCTCCGCTACCTGTCGGGCCATTAATTCTTAGCCCGACTCCGCGTCCCAACTCTGCTCCAGGCCCGCTGATGACTGGCCCACTCTACCCTCCCCGGCCCAGTTACCCATTGGGCCCGTTACTCCGCCCGACTAATGTCGAAAATTGAGGTCCGTCCTTAATCCCGGCCCAACCATCATCTGTATCGGCTCACCTCCAATCATCCCAGCATCAAACGACCCTGTTCTCGCTCCTAGGCTCCAGCCCGTGATGGCACTCGGTGGCCTTAGGTACTCGGGCCAAGCCCACCCAGTCGGCTCGACCAGTCCGGCTCTGCCCCCATCGTCCCAACCCAACCCGATTGGATCGCACCCAACACTCCACTTTTCAACCCAATGATCTGCACCGCATTCCGAGAGGTCTTCGCCTGAGTGACTCCTTCCGGTGACCCTCCTTGTTCTTTATTGGTCGTTTTTTCTGTCATGGTGAGATTCCCTCCTGGTTTGCTGCCACTACTGCCGCCTGTCTTCATGCCGTTAATGCCTCCCATCGGCAATCCCACCACGTGTGGCGGTTTAGAGTTAATGCCCCAGCCATCCTCGTCGAATCAAAGGACCCTTCATTTTCTCCGATACCGCTCCAGGAGTTTGTTTGTGAGCTCGAGCCGCAATTGGCGATAGTGTTGTCACTTCGTTTGCCAGAGTCGTTCATCGCCTCAAGCTTTCGACCTGCCACCACGATGGTCTAGGTGGCAAGGGTACACACCAGATTCTCTAACACCGAGAAGTGTTGCTGGTTCCTCGCCTCTCCCGCCGCGAAACCCTCTGTCGTAAGCTTTGGGATGTCGATGACTTTATGGTGTAGGGTTTCTACCTGCTCGACCAAGGGATTCTGGCGGGTCTCGAGGCTTTCAAGACTTTCCTCCATGGCGTGCAACCGGGGGTGAGGTGGGTCACGTTCCGACCCGTTGCTGCTGCTGGTGGTAATCCTGGACTTCGTTGGTTGTTGCTTACTCGTCATCCCAATAACCGAACTCTGGTACCAACTGTTACGGTGATGTGACGTGGGCAGATGATGTTTTTAGGAGTTTTCGTAAAAGGGATAAAACACAAAGAACACTAAATAACAAAGAAATTAGCGAATAAAAGAACGAAAACTATTGGGTTCCAATCTTCTTATCATCAAATGAAAGAACAAGTACATATTTATAGGTTAGGAAATCCTGACAACCCCCTCTCCCTTTCCTACTGGGTCAGCGACCCTCTCTTCCCCTTCCTAACCGAAATATGAAATTTATTCTACAAGGAAACAAATACCAAATTCTAAACCATAGGCACTAGAAAATCCAAATCCAACATAAACAAGTAAACATAAATAATTAATACTAAAAATACCCAAGTAATATTCAAATACGAACTAATTAATAAAAATAAACAAGTCCAGTATTCTACAAAACGTTATGACGGTCCGATCTTGTAACAGAGTTAGAGGTAGAAATATGAATATGGCTTAGTTGATGGAGTATATCTAATTAATGTTGGGACTTTTAGGGACGAGGGTATACGCACGATAGCCCGAGACCGGGTGACCAGGATTGTGATAGAGTCGTGAACCACGTTCACTTTCCGAAAATAATATTTCCACCCTCAACAAGCCTAGGGTTACAGGAAATTTCTCCCGAGGATAAAACTATCACCACTTTAGGTTCGAGGCTCAAGAACACTAAAGCATACTTAGAAATTTTTGGAAGAAAGAAGAAGAATATGCTTGATGGTATTTGTCACCATCCACCCCACACATATATTTATAGGGGCCGAATCCATGCATTGTTTCATGAAAGGTTGCCTTTATCCAAACGAAAGGTTGCCTTTATCCATACGAAAGGTTGCCTCTATCCATATGAAAGGTTATCCTTATCCATATGAAGGGTTGCCTCTATCCATAAGGTTATCCTTATCCATAAAATAATGCAACCGCCACTAGGCCGAAGGGATGTGTCCCTTCACGGAATTAGAATATCGGTTCGGTCGGTCTAATCCCAAACCGGTTGGTCGGTCCAACCCAAAACCGGTTTGACTTGGTTAGTCCGGTTCAACCAAATTTCCAACATTCCTCCCCAATTTTAGTGTATTATTAGAATTCACTAAAATCACAACATTCTTCCAACAAAACTTAAGCATAAATGAAAATGTCGTGACGATTGAATTTTCACCTTAGTATATTACACTTGACGAATACTCGAATACAAAGGGTGTCGGTAACGATTGAACCCATTGACTCATATGAATATTCGAAGATAATATACACTTAAGTTTTCAAAACGTCTAGGTGCCTTGACACTCTTATCCGCCATGTGTCCAATCCTTCTCATAAGCGCACACGAAACCAAAGTCCGGGTTTCTTGAAGCGGCTACACTTCATGCTTACGTAGGTCGAATCTTTTATTCGTGTACCCGCATAATACACTTTGTCAAAGATTCAATTAAGAAGTTTTGAACTTCATCCTCTTCTCTCATGCAAATAACAAGCACATACCTCGGGATGATAAATTTTGTGCTTCAATTTCTGATAAGAAGCTTTCCACATTGAATTCAGCCTCTAACGTTGTATTAGAGGGGAATTGGGTGTCCCATTACCAGAAATTATATGGACTTTAATCCATCCCTTTCACAGACTTAATCACCAAGTCACTAGTTAACCACTTCGTTAAATGATCAACCAAATTAATTCGAGTTTGGTCATGCTGTCTAGACACAACACTATGAATGATCAGTTCACCGCTTTTACCGTGCCATACTCCCACACGACCGTACTTATCATTTTCACTTGACTATATGCCTTAGCCAAATTAGCATTACTATCACAAAAGAGAGTAATAGGTGAGATTGGTTTAGGCCATAAATATATGTCATAAACCAAACCTCTCAACAATTATGTCTCTTCTCTAAGAGAAATCAAGGCCACACAAACATTGATTCCATAGTGAAACTTAGTGATGCAAGTGTGCTTTCTAGAGGCCCAAATTATGGCACCTCTCCCAAGCAAGAGGACTCATCTCAATGATAAAGTATCACCTTTAACATGAGAAATCCAACTAACATCAACAAATCCTTTCCAAAATTGATGGAAAGCCACTATAAGTCAATACAGTGTGCCTTTGACATATCCTAGTACACGCCTCATTTCATTTCAAATTATGAGAACTAGGATTCATCACGTACCAACTTAATTGTTCTATCGCATATGCGATATCTAGCATCATGTAAATCATGCATACATCGAGCCCCCAATTTAACATGGAATACTCCAGTTGTAAACTTGATTTCCAGTATTAACCATAAGTTCCATACTTGGATCCATTGGGGTCTTTAACTCACTATAATTCCTACTATGGAATTTATGCAAGTACCTTCTCATGCAGAAAAATTGAGAGAATGACTCTTTCTTATCGTTCCGCTTGATTCAATACACAGAATCACATTTGCCTCCCCCATGTCCTACATGGAGAATTGAAATAAAAACTTTTTATCAAAGTTCACTTATCTTTTATTGGTTCCAAAGATAAGCATGTCTTATACATACAAATGTACGATGACTTCATTACCAGAATCATCATAAATTGTGTACACATTTTGTCTCCTTGGTTTAAAATAGCATACACCACTAGACAATCACTTATCTTTGATTGGTCCCAAAGATAAATATGTCATCTACATACAAACACAACGACTCTATTACCAGAATCATCAAACATTGTATATACAATTTCGTCTCCTTGGTTTAAAATAACATAAACCACTAGACAAAATCACACCACCAAACCACTAGACAAATCCAAGTTTATCTAGAACTTCGTAAATGTCGAATAGAGAATTAGACTAATTAACCATTGAGTATGTGACCTACCCAAAGGCAATTTTCATTCTTCTATTTCTCTATTTTACGAATCATTCTCCTTCTTCCTCATCTTCGAATCTTCCCTCTTCCAAGTTACCTTCCGGATATGGAATACACCATGAGACAAGTACGAAGAAAACCCATCTTCTACTGCCATCGATGAAAAACCCATCATCGAACATTCTCATAATTCCATAGAACGGAACCGGTTTCTTGTAAAGATCGGTTCGAGCCAACGTACCGACAAATATTCTTTTCGATTGTTGGGACTTTTAGGGACAAGGGTATATGCACGATAGCCCGAGACCGGGTGACCAGGATTGTGATAGAGTCGTGAACCACGTTCACTTTCCGAAAAGAATATTTCCACCCTCAACAAGCCTAGGGTTACAGGAAATTTCTCCCGAGGATAAAACTATCACCACTTTAGGTTCGAGGCTCAAGAACACTAAAGCATACTTAGAAATTTTTGGAAGAAAGAAGAAGAATATGCTTGATGGTATTTGTCACCATCCACCCCACACATATATTTATAGGGGCCGAATCCATGCATTGTTTCATGAAAGGTTGCCTTTATCCAAACGAAAGGTTGCCTTTATCTATACGAAAGGTTGCCTCTATCCATATGAAAGGTTATCCTTATCCATATGAAGGGTTGCCTCTATCCATAAGGTTATCCTTATCCATAAAATAATGCAACCGCCACTAGACCGAAGGGATGTGTCCCTTCACGGAATTAGAATATCGGTTCGGTCGGTCTAATCCCAAACCGGTTGGTCAGTCCAACCCAAAACCCATTTAACTTGGTTAGTCCGGTTCAACCAAATTTCCAACAATTAATTCTCCAACTCCACCGGATTTCTGCACTAAAGCTTGACAATTTCAAGCCGAACTCGTCATGTCCACTATCTACATCAAGTTTTTGGTTGGTGTAATATTATTGAAAGGAATCTCTCTGGTGGAACCCAGATTTTTATTTTCTATAATTGAAGGCATGATTGTACGTTTAGGATTTTCATTTGAGAGATGGGGTAGTCGAAGTGAGATTTGGATCGGTTGTACTTGATAGGTGCCTACGCGTAATGGATTTACGGGTAAAAATTGGCTTTTCATATTGGTTCGTTAGAGGCTCCATCGTATCAAAACGGTATTTGAATGGAGAAATTAACCCAAAAGCAAGCTTGGAAAAAAATATAATAGAGGGATACTTTTTATATGAAATATTATAAAGAGAATATTCAGAAAAATGTTGAGATTAGCTATGTAAATGAATCGAGTCGAGTTTTGCTAGCTCAGATTTGAGTAGACTCGTTTTTAAAAATGTTGGCTCGTATTTAATTTGTCTCAAACTTCACTTAAGTTTGGCTCATCAATAAGGTTTACTCGAGTTTGGCACATTAACAAGCTCACGAATTCTGTTCGAGCTCAACTAATTTATTATAAACAATCTAATGCTCAATTTATACACTAAAATAATTTATAACATAAATACCAAAATATTGTATTTAATGTATGATACATGTAATTGATGTCATGATGAAAAAAGTAATAGCTAATTTTCATCATTAAAGAAACCCATATTTATATACTCTATTGGTATCATATTATTTAGCTAATAGTTTTTGAACTAGTTCATATCATGTTATTTCACAACAATTAGTATCTAGTAATCAATGATACATAATTTATCATTTAAATTACAAATGATTCATATTTCTCGTATACTTAAAGTCTTAAGCAATATATGGTGTGAGATCTGAAATGTATAATTTAACAAACTTATGAATTATCAGCAGATAAAATCATGAGATTTAAATCAATTCGCTCATAAGTTGGTTGTTGATTTGGCTTGCTAGCCACAATGTTTAGTTGTCTCATGATAAGCCGAGTTCAACAAACAACCGAGTCGAGTTGGTTCGCGAGCTAAACAATACTTTGCTCAACCTCGGCTTGTTAGCAAACACAGTGAGTTTCAAACGTGTTTTTCCTGACTCGAACGTCGGTTCGTTCGTGAATGACTCAACTCATTTGCAACCCTAGCCATAATAGAGTAAGGGTGGGAACCAAATCCCAATTTAACCAAAAAACAGACCATTTAAAATGGTCTGGTTGTAATCAAGACCATTTTTTGGTTTGGTCTCCTATTGCAGAGAGTGTCTTCAAAACCATCCAAGTTTGGTTCAGTTTAAATCGAAAAGACGAATCATGATACAAACCTAGCCCAACCTCTCAAGTCGAACAAAACTCCCGAACCCACTCCTCATTCCAAGCCAACACCCAGCC